TCAGCGCGAATATTTCGTAGGTCCGCTTTATAATGGGAGATTCATGCAGGATAATTACAGAAATCTGGATTTAACTAAACTGACTATGTTTAATCTAAGAGACAAACAGCCTGAATATGTGATATAAAGTGAAAATCAATTTTTCTTTATACCTAAAAGCACAAACACAGTATGTATACTTTTATCAAAACAATAAAATGCAATCTACCAGATCAGTAAATCAGCCAGCAATTGTAGTCTCTCGAGATATCTTTCTGTCGAACAACTCACAATGAAAACCTAGTAGAACGCTCATTAGTTAACAGGATATACCCATAACAACTAGCACTACCCACATGACTAGTCGTTCTCATACAGTTTAATTAAAGCCGTGATCTCCAGATATCATCTACTCGGCCGGTGAATGGCATTGCTGTCGTTGATTGCAATAATGTACGACTTTTCAGCAGTATTTACCGCGGCGGAACAGATATTATGTATTAGAGAACAACAACGGACTAAAGGTATCTAGAACGAAACTCTTAACGGTTCCCTGGTTCACGTGTTTGTGCAAAAACAGCATAGAAACAAACTAAATAAAAAAAATATTATATTAATATTAGAAGGTAAACAAACAAAAAACACAAAAAAAATGCATGGTATGCATGTACACCACATTGCTCCAAATGCTACGTTAGGTATTAGTCTGTATCTAGGAAATACACATTTTTAATAACAAAACTGTCTTCATAGTTAATTAAGAGGACTATCCATATATACATATATAAAAGCGAAAAAGGCCGGACATGGCCTATTAGATAGCATGTCATGTTATGTTAGAGATTGAAAGGTCCGAAACTCAAGGCCTTGATACATCGCTGGACACTCTCTGTACTTTCAACAGTGGACAAATTATAAAAGTGACAGTCAACTTTTTTATTCAGTTAAGAGTATCCGTGGGTGTTCCTGATTGGTTGCCTTTTCTCTGGTCAGCAGTTCCAAATTATAAAAAAGACAGTCACTACTATTAGGTAACGTGGAGCCGTGTAGGAGGCAGTGGTGCTGAGCAGTTTTCTGTCTTCTAATCAGCAGTTCCAAATTATAAAAATGACAGTCGATTCTACTATTAGGTAACGTGGAGCCGTGTAGGAGGCGGTGGTGCTGATCGGTTTTCTGTCATCTAATCAGTAGTTCCAAATTATAAAAGTGGCAGTCAGACCCGCTATTTGGTTAAGAATAACCATTTAGGCTTTCATTCTATTTTAGTGTTTACATATGTGATGTATCTTACTGCGTTTATCAAGCAGTAAGATGGTGCTAACGTAACGTTTTAAGCTTATCTTCATAGCAATTGCATCGCTTCATTATATCCTAAAGGATAAATTCACATTACAATACATCTAGGTTTAGGTAAATTAACAAACTAAAGTATTTTTTATGATATTTTAGTAAATACAGAGTGTATTTTACTTAAGAATGCATTTAGATATACAAGTATAGAGTGGTGGAAATACATTTTCAGATAATTTGAAGATTAAACTAAAATAGTTGAAAAATTGTTCTGACTTGTATATTTCGCTATTGTTTCTTTTAGAATAAGTATTATGCTTTATGTAATAAAGTTTGTTTGTTTGTAGTTAAGCACAATGAGCTATATGTGCTCTGCTCACCACAAGTACCGAAATCCGTTTTCTAGCTATATAAGTCCACTTTCCCACTAGGGGGCATAATGAAGCTACTCACAACATTATGCACTTTTCTAAGATTTTTTTATTATATTTATGTTGCCAGCTATGTACAATTTTAACTATACTATTAAATAAAATGATGATTTTTATTATATACTTCGGTTTCGTTCTGTTTATTTACACGAATATTACGCTTTTCAAGTAATTTTACATGATATGCTTTGATTCCAAAAGTTTGAAATATGACCAGTTGTAAGTTGCAGTTTTCGAGCAACATCAGTCGTATCACATAGCCTCCTAGCGGCTCAGTGGTAAGCTTGCTTACAAAGCTAAGAGATAAGGGTTCGATACCCGCGGTAGACACAGTGCAGATAGCCCATTGTATAGCTTTGCGCTTAAAAATATGACAAATATGACCACCACAGTGCATACCCCAGATAACATAATACACTGGACGCTTATGTCACTGTATATTTTTAAATAATTTGTTTATTTTATAGTTATGCACGAAGATACACGATGGGATATATGTGCTGCGCCCACCATGGGTATCGAAACTCGGATTTAGCGTTATAAGATTATGTACTTACGGCTGAACCACTGGTGGGCATATCTGTTTTGAATTATAATACCTATCACATGTTCTCAGGATATAATTACTGATCTGTGTGAATCACATGTTATAAGTATCATAGTAGTTGTCATTTATGTAATCATTAAAAGCAAAATATTAAATGGAAAACCTTTTTCTTTTTTTTTGTACAGGAAACATTCCAACACGAACGCTCTTTGGAATAACTGTAGAGTTACAAAATAAATACAATTAGGATTAGAAAGTTATTTTAAAACATTTTCCTCGGCATTTTGTTTAAATAATTTAATATATTTGACTTAACTTTTCTTTAAATTCTTCAAAAGCTCTTTGACGTAATTTCTTTTTACTGACGTCATAATACCCTAGAATCTAGTCTGATACTTACGAGTTCTACGTGTTCTGAGGGGGGTGAGTTGATAAAGCTTATTATAGTTTGTTTGGTTTCTGAAAATACTGATAGTTTGTGACAGTCTTTTCTGTCGCATGTCCAGTTATATTAACTTCTAAATGTAAAAAACACAAGTGCAGGAAATGATACTGAATTTGGATACGATACGATAAAGTAATTTTTTCAATATATATCTTGGCTTTTTATGAAATTACTTATGAACAAAAACCCTTCCAAACTAAAGAACTCGTCATAAAAATGATTGTGAAATTACAGAGTTTTTGATAAATTTCAAGTATTATATTCTTATCTGTAGTCTAAACAACAGTGTTTCGAATGGTGTTTAAGAATAAAACTTTTTTTGCCACCCTAACAAAAAAAAAAAGAATAATTTCAAATAGGTTTGAATATCAGTTTTGAATAATCTGCTTTTTTAGTATGTTTACTATTTATTTGAAAGTTAATACTATGAGATTACAGACCGAAGTGATTCTACAACAACAACAATAACGCATTTTTATGACTCCATCAGGTCATCTCCCTATTTTTGATGACTCCATCAGATCATCTCCATATTTCTTGATGACTCCATCAGATCATCTCCTATATTTCTTGATGACTCCACCAAGTCATCTCCCTATTTTTTGATGGCTCCACCAGGTCATCATCCTATTTCTTGAAGGCTCCATCAGGTCATCTCCCTATTTCTTGATGACTCCATCAGGTCATCTCCCTATTTCTTGATGACTCCACCAGGTCATCTCCTTATTTCTTGATAACTCCAGCAGGTCATCTCCCTCTTTCTTGATGGCTAAAGAAAAGAAAAAATCGTATAAAACGATGAAACAGATATCCCATTGCGTAGCTTTGAGTTCAAAAACAAGCAAATAGTTTGTGTAAAAAATACTACAACCAAACAATGTAATTTTTCACAGCATTTAAAGAGGTAAATGATTTAGAATTATATTCAATCAAACACATTTCACATGTATTCTTGTATTTAAGTGACTTAAAAGGCATAAAATGTATTAATATTAACTTATGGGTTGTAAGTTTAATATCAAAATATCGCCAATTATAGTAACAATAATTATTTTAAAATTAGAAATATAGGAATAAATATATTCCTGTCATAAATATGTATAAATAGCTAACAGATGTCAGATATACTTCAATATTCTACACACACATGTATATACTGTGCATATATATTAATTACTTGTTTGGATGCAACAGCATTGTAGAAGTGAAAGAAACTAAGCAGCCTTTGGAAGTTTTTGTAGTAAACATAAATGGACGGGAAAACTTGTTAATTATAGATTGCTATAAAAAAGCTCTTTCAAGAGCACTAAGAACTAAAATATTTTTTATCAACTAAACCTCTACATTCATACATTATGTTGAGAACGTGCTGTCAAAAACACACTCTCGACGTAAAATATTAACTTTGAGTATTACTCATAGACCTCGTATATAAATAAAGAATAGAGTTAAGCGACCACTAAAGTACATATATAGTTAACCTAAAAAGACTTAAACTGCCAAAAAAAAAGAAAAGAAAAAAGACATTAACTGGTATTAATTATATTGTATAATCAGTTACCGAGAGCTCCCCAGTGGCACAGCGGTATGTCTGCGGAGTTAAAACGCTAGAATCCGGGTTTCGATACCCGTGGTGGGCAGAGCATTGTGTAGCTTTGTGCTTAATTACAAACAAACAGTTACCGAGATCACGTGTTTATTAAAGCGTATCTGTCCCAAGGGTGTGAAAAGAAGCTGAAGACAACCTTTATAATTTAGGTGATTATTATCTCCGGTTTTCCTCATCGGCATTTTCTTAATTTGCTTTTTTATCTGTTTATTACTTTGTTTTTATTCATTGTTTATGAAAAGAAGCTGAAGACAACCTTTAGAATTTAGGTGATTATTATCTCCGGTTTTCCTCATCGGCATTTTCTTAATTTGCTTTTTTATCTGTTTATCACTTTGTCTTTATTCATTGTTTAGCCTTCTTCTGACTTCGGGTGTTACGTACACAAGGAAATATTTCTGTAGTTTATAAAATATATTATCCAATGTTAACGCTTTTGTTGCTTGCCTACGTGCTAAAATCATCAAATTATTTCCCGCAATTAAATAGTTTGCTATATGTAAATCAAAAATTATTTGCCTGAGATACATCATGGAAATATATTGACCTGAAATTTAAACTGCTGTGCCTTCTAGTTTTGGACGTATATCCACTAGATGCCACCACGGTCGTAAAAAATTATGAATGGTGATTCGGTTCTGCAGTTCACAAGTAGGCGTTTCGAATTAAAGTAGACGCACTTTTCTTACATCCTCACAACAGAAGAAGCCAGAAGTTACATACAACGACAAAAGCGAACGAGTATGACCTACGAAGAACAATAGAAAAACGAAAAATCTGTAAGTACTATGAGTATAAATATATATTGTTTTTCTACGTTTTAAAGAAAACCTTATAAAAAATGAAAGGTTAATCAAAACTTGTTAAACACACACATATACAAAAAAATAATTATTCTAATTAGTTTCCAAATCAGTTGTGTTAACGGGAAAGAATCTAAGTTCACTAAATTTAAATAACTGATAAATATGGTATTATCCTATCTCTTCTCAGGAGGGATAAATTTATATTTAAAAAAACTAGAACGATGTTGATTTGTTTTAAATTAAGAACAAAGCTACACCATGTACTCTGTCCATCACGAGTATCGAAACACGGCTTCTAGCGTTGTAAGTCAGCAGACATGCCGCTGTGCCACTGATGGAGGGAACTAGAACGATATTCCCATTTTTATTCTTACACTAATCTAATGCTTTTTAAAAAATATAACCTTTTGTTCAATCTTCTGGGGAAAATTCAAATATTGATGTTAGAATAAACCACTATTAAGCAAATGTTGGCGATTATTGGTTGATTCGTTAATTGTTTACATAGACTGTTGATATTTGATTATAGGATAAATTGGCTGACATTTGTTTTAGTGATAAAGCTTAATAATTTGATATAATTTAAGAGTTGGCGCTCACAAAGCTTTATCTTGAAACTGATATTATTTTTACATTTAAAAACAACTTTGGAAAAGTTTACTTATAAGCCCTGATATTTACTGTACTTAGCAAATATAAGTCTCCCGATGAGACAGCGGTATGTTTACGGACTTACAACGCTAAAATCCGGAGTTCGATTCCACGCGGAGCGGTAAACATAACAGATGACCCAGTGTGATATTGCCCTAAAACAAACTAACAAATATATATATGAAAAACTCGCTCTGACGACGTGGATCTGTTAAAACTAACATATGCTACGTTGTGTTTAATAGTGTGTGTGTTGATGTAAAACTGACTTGCTACAATTCAAATTTCTCTCAGATGATTGGTTGGTTGATTTTATACATGGAAACTTACATAAGAAATAAATTGATGACTGCCACGCAAAATGAGTTTATAGTTTACATCTTATTGCATCGATAGATGACGTATGAAATAGATTGATAGCTGACATAATGAATAGATTAATAACTAACATTATAAAAAAACAGATTCATACCTGAGGTGTAAGTGAGTTTACAAATGTTTGTTGAATTTCATGCAAAGCTATTTGAGGAGTATTTGCCTAGCCATCCCTAATTTGGAAGTGATAAACTAGAGGGAAGGCAACTTTTGGGCTTGTCTTGTCAGAACGAATAATAGGATCGTCACTCTTGTAATGTCCCCAAAGCCCCAAAGAGCGGAGCACAATTGTTTTTGTTTTGGCGATAACAGGGTACAAGTCATGGAACCTCTGATCCATAGCGACATTCTAACAACTGGGCCAAGCTCAGCCCAGTTATAGCAGACTTAGTATATAAAAATATTTATTTTAGCTGACCTGATAATAAACAGATTGACAGCTGACGAGCTAAACAGATGCCATTTTAAATAGGGTTATAACTGATGTACTAGATTAGTTTAGAACTGTCATGCCATATTGGTGTATAATGATACATTTATTAAACAGATTTATAGCTGACATGTTAAAAATGTTTATAAGTGGCCTATTCAATAGGTTGATAGCTGATACATTAAAAGGATTTATTACTGATCTATTCAGTAGATTGATAGCTAACATGTTTATAACTGACCTATTGTGCAATAAGGTGATAACTGACACATTAAAAGAGTTTATAACTGACGAACTAAAATGGTTTATTGCTAATTCGTATATAGGTTTGTAATTAATTTATTTAGTGGGTTTGCAGCTGATTTGATAAATGGGTTTATACAGCATACTTTAACTGGAATTATAGCTAATATTAAATGAGTTTATGTCTGACGTACTAGAAGGGTTTGTAGCTAGTTTGTTAAATGAATTTACATTTAAAGTACTGATATGACGTGTTAATGCTGGTTTAGCTCAATATCTTATTAAGAAAATTGCAGAATCCTTTTTCAAAACATCTTAACTTCTATATTATTAGTTGAACTGGGAAGTTCAACTTGTAGTGGATCATGCCTGTACTGCATCTGTCATACCATTTTTACTGCCTGGTTTAGTAGTTTTACCTTTTTCTGTAACTGGATAACTAGTAGTACGATTTTATAAAACTAGCTACAATATTCCAAAACATGATCCTGTCGCCTTTTACTAAGCTACGGAGTTACTACAGAGTTGAATTATATCAAGACGATTTTGAATGTGCAAATCAGCAAGTCAGATAACAACCATAGCCGATATAAAGTCGTTGTGGAACAAGTATCGGAATTACATTTTAACATTGTTTGACGTTTCGTAGCAAGTGTAATGCCACTGAAAACTGATCGCTTTGGAAACGTTATGTAACAGCTCTATTCGATACAAAATATGTAAAGATGTGTTCAGATCATGGACATAGAATTTCCAAGACAGGAATATCCCTTGTACATAATGATGCTAGACAAAAAATGAATACCAAGCAACATACCCAGGCAACAGAACGTATCATAATCAAGAAGGATCTCTGTCTGGAAACGAGGCCAACAGGGTATGGTTTGATCAAGATAAGATTCCCAGTCATATACTTCTGGTTCAACCGTCGGATACACTAAGCAGCTGTAGTATGAAACGATAATTCATACTATTCTATACAGATATATATATCAGTCAAGTTACCGGATGCAGACCCTACTGTTGAAATGACACAGGAAAATCATCATTCTCATATACTAGACAGCTTATGGTAAATGTGTAGATAGGAGTTGTGTGCTTTGTACATGACAGTTTTTTTTTTTTTTGCAATGGATACACCGTTGAAGAGCTACTGTCAACATGTATGGCGTCAGATAGACTATGACCGGATGTGGCGATATTGACAGTAACGACATGATGAGGCTCCAAAATCAGTTTATTATAACGTACTCAACCCTACGTAATACTACGCCATTCCATTATAAAAAAAGGCGAAAGCTTATTGACTTGTTATCTGTAATCAAAACGTTATGTGCACGTTTTTTTATATTTCAAATGAGGCTATACAGTTGCTAAACTAAACTAACGTTTACAATTTAAAAACTGTTTTTGAATGTCTGACACTAAGGGTTTTTCTATAGATGGTACTTTTATTATGTTAATATTAGGCTTTTCCGATTCCCACCTGTCCTGTAATTTAAGCGAAAATAATAGTAAATGATATAAAAATTTATTACTTTGTTAATACAGACACAGGTTACATCGGTGGTTTTCATTTCTATGTTTTTCGCACTTAAGAAAGTAGCGTCCTTCATAAATTTCAAATTATAAACACGGTAATAAGGAAAAAAAATTATATTTCTCCTTAAAAAGTTACTAACCTGCTTCATTATATTAAAGTTTTATCGAGGTTCGCTATAATTAGTTTTCAGGAATAACAAAGTATCATTTTTGGAAACAATGTTATATCATGCACCATTTTTGTTGCAAATCAAGCATTTCAATGTTTTGTTTTGAAACTGACAATTCATTTTTTTTATAAGTCAAACAAAATTAAAGATTTGTTAAAGAAATAAAAACAGTTAAACTTTTAACACTTACTGTTATTAATTTGTAGAATCCAACATTAAATCTCTTCTGTCGGTGACTGGCATAAGCTAACTTCTTTTTTCTTGAATTTCTACAACATTATTCATAGAAAAATTGTTTTAGGCATTGACTTTGTTTTTTTTTTTGTTAAGCGCAAAGCTATACAATGGGCTATCTGTGTTCTTCCCATCGCGGGTATCGAAACCTGATTTTTAGTATCGCAGATTTTCACACTTATTGCTGAGTCACCGGGGAGTGAGACAACCATCTTTTACAGGCCAAATTTATGCTAATCATAAAGCTGTTACAGTGACATCTATTAATTATACAAATTCTACTTAATTATAAATAATAATAATAGAAAAAATCGTATATAAAAAAACAAACATATTTTTTAAACATTGCCACAGTTTACAATTTACAAATAAACAATGTGATATACAATAATACCGCGTTAATCCACTTGCTATAGAGTTTTCACTTTATCAAGAAGTGTCGGCTTCAGGAATTATTTGAAAACTTTCTTGTAAAGCTAGCAGATATTTGAAGAATTTGATGTACTCGTATGAATGAAGATGCTTGTATCCTGAAGATAAAAAATGTTAAAACTCTGTTTATATATTTTATAGATAAAAAAACCTGTGGTAACTGAAGTTACCAGGAGTTTTAACTGCATCGTTTGTACATCTGAAGAAGTCGCATGTACCATAGGTGATACTAAAATATGAAATATAATGTAGAATTATGATGTATTGAACAAGTATAAAATACTGTTGAATCTTTTTCCATCATAGATCAGATCACTGGTACGTTAAGGTATATACATCCATCTATTGCCATTATAGATCAGATCACTCGTAAGTTACGGTATACACGTCCATTTACTCTTAGCTACATAAGATACTCAAAAATCAATAACCGAATAGCGGATGACGGATATGTATACTCACTAAAACATTACTGTTGATTTTTTTCTGTTTAAAACACTTAGGTGAGATTAATGGTTCCCTTCGAAACTAATATAAGATACAAATTTAGGCGAAATTTAAATTCAATGTGTATTTAGTAAGCATTAACCTAGAAAGTGTGGAAAATAAATAAAGATCAAAGTTAATAAATGTATAAATTGTAAGTATGCTTATACCAAAAGGAACCACCATTTAGTCAAAAAACACATTCTTCCGACTCGGGTTACACACTGAAGGACTATTAGAACCCATACCTTATATCGGACTGTACCACTTTTCTTAACGAAAATAGCCCGAGTTCGGCATGATTGGACATCAAAAGATACCGGAAAGTTTCTTGTTTAATGTAAACAGTTGATAAATGGATATGGTCTTCAAATGTTTCCGAGATATACCATAGGCTTACAGTTTATAAA